GTTTCGAAACTAGCTTAAATATTAGTTAAATAAATGACTCTGATAAAACAGAAAAGAATATGGCCCAAAGGTTTACCATTCTGCAAATATGACGTCATTAATGTGAAGCATTTCTCTATTTTCAACAGAAAAAGCCTCAAAATGGCACATTTCAAGGGTGATTTTCCTTTTGAAAACAGTGTCCACAGCCGTCGCCCACGTTCATTTTTTGATATTTTGTGCAAAATTCAATAACAAATCACATATCTCAAGATCTTTGTGGGCGATGCCTGTGGACAATGTTATCTGAAAGAAAATTCCATTGAAAATTGGTGTCTTCTGCAACTTTTTAAGAAAATACGGGAAAATGCACATGTTTATGACGTCATAGTTAGCATTTAAAAACACATGTGAGAGAAATGATTTGTATGATTTTCTGCACTTAATTTCAATTATTTAAAACGCACGAATTTTCAACTTTTACACCAGTTTCATTTTTTAGAAAATCACAGGGCAAAATTTGTATGGAAACCATACCTTCTTCTTTCAATTGAATGAACCTGAATCGCATTCACAAAAAGATGCTTTGTGGCATGTTTGGTTGAAAAAGTATCAGTTGCTCTGGAGAAAAACTTCAAGTTGAAAATAACATTTTTTTTAGAATTTTTTTTCAAATAGTCATACAGAGGGATACTAGACACAATGTGATTAGAAAATATATTTTGAGCTTTAAGCTTAGATGAGCTAAAATAGATAGATTGCTTATAAATGTCATTTCATAGTAACTATACAACCTCTATTTGTCCATTCCCCATAAATGGAGCCTTCCTGACAGCACACTTCTTCTCCAACCTTATCATCAAACTTCTTCTCCATATTCACCGGTCACGGTAGCCTAGTGGTAGAGCGTTCGCTTCGTGATCGGGAGGCCCGGGTTCGATTCTCGATCGCGGCGCCGCGTCATACCTAAGACGTAAACATAGGTAGTGACTGTTCCTTCGCCAAGCGCTCGGCACCAGAAGTGAAAGTCACGGGTCTTTCGGATATGACCTTAAAAACGTAGGTCCCGTGTCACGGTAGGCGTTGGCACGATAAAGAACCCTCACTGCTCAATGGCCCTGAGTGCCGAGTATAGGTCTAAATTTGAAGCCCTTCACCGGCATCGGTGACGTCTCCATATGAGTGAAAAATTCTCAAGAGGGACGTTAAACAATATACAATCAATCAATCAATCTTCTCCATATTCAGCACCAGAATGAAGAAGGCCCGGGGACTCAGAAAAATCTGGTGTGAGGCATAATATGAACACTGCCCTGCAAAGTCAGTCATGGTAATTTTTTCTCAGGATCATCTGACATGTCTTCTGCACCAATCTGCAAATTTCCAAAAATTTCTGAACGATGAGGAATATCTTTGCTTTCCTTCAGTACATCTGCTACATTTTCTGGTGATGTGGCCCCCTGTGGTTCATGGGATGGGGTGGTTTTAATGTCGATATCATCATGTGATATCTGTCCACTATTTGATGCTTCAGTTGCATTGGCCTCTTTATCAACTGGTTCCATCTTTTCCCAATCATCAGCTGCATTTTCTGAATGGTATGGAGGAACATTCTGCTTCATATCTTTTTTATCAAGTTTGAGTTTGAATTGTTTTTGTGGACTTGAAAAATTAACTGCAAAAAACATTGAATACACCTTGATTAACAACTTCACTTTTTGGATACAAAGGGATACCCCATATGTATCCAAAAAGTATAGGCAAAAATGAAAAAAATGTAAATAAAGTGCAACACCACAGCTTGATATGCCCATCAAAAAATTATAATTATCTTAAACATTTTAGAGTGCAAAAAGATCATGTTAACTTGATTCTAAGATTTCCAAGATTTTTCCATTACTTACAATATTGTTTAACTAGATTCCTTGTGCTGTGGGCATAAATTATAACAAATATTACACCATTGATAGATTTCTATACTGGTTATGCTGGACTTCGTCAAATGCCCATCATATTATACAATATGAAATTAGTCTCAACAACTTAATCTATACCAAATTAATTTTAAAAACAATGGCTGGCCATCAAATGACATGCTATAAACTGTCCACCAGATCTTCTGTCTAATTCCCAAAGGTTATAGATAAAACTGCTTGATCAGAGATGCTCTAAAGAAATGATTAAGACAGCTAGCCTTCCTACAATGAACTCATTAATTAATCTTTGACTGGATGCTTGTGTACTCACTACTCCAAAGATATTAATGAATCTGCACTTTCTATCCTAAAACACTTGTAAAAAACATAAAATACTCAATGATTTTTTTCATATTTAAAGTCAGACAGGTTTCATATTTAATTCATATGGACAGTAGGCATGCTGATTCAACCAAACCCCATAAAATTAGTTTTTAATCAATTAATGTTAAATAGCATCAGATTATTAGTTTTTATGCAATATCAAATTAGTTTTAATTACTCTTCGTCAAATTCATTTTAAAACTTAGGCTAGCCAACAAGAGCTATTTTTAATCCAACAGGCTGGCTGTCCATTAGCCCACTTCCCAAAGGGATATACATAAAATTGATGCTCTACCAGTTAGCTCCTCACATTAAACTCATTAATATCTCTCTAATTTGACATGCGAATTTCTGCTATCAAAATTTTTCTTTATTAGTGCTTGATAATTATGCCCATGGGACAATTTATATTCCTCTAATTAACACTGACATTTGTTTCTGATCATGCTGTAAAACATATGATGAAAAAATAAGTTTTTACTTGATTTAACACTTTTTAATATGTATTATACATATATATATATATATATATATATATATATATATATATATATATATATATATATATATATATATATATATATATATATATATATATATATATATATATTACATTTTTCAGAGCTGCCAACATTCTGAAATGACAAATAGTAAGGCAGGGTCCGGGGACCGCCTAACCTCAAGTCGCTGAAGATATTTTGTAAATAGACATGTAATGGACACAATTTGAGGCATGTTTCTATTTTGTTTACTTTGAAACATTGACATGAAAACAATCGGCCTTCTAAAACCGAAGCAACAACACAAGCAAGCATTGTAAGGATTATGAATATTTAATTATAATAGTAGAAACTGTTGTTTGCCAGCTATGAAAATTCCGGTATTATAAACTTTGATCGAGAAAAGCCGAAATCGGAAGAATATGGAGAGAAATCGTAAGGCGTATTATAGATGCTAATTTCGTAAGACTTACGCCAAAATCGTAAGGGTTGGCAGCTCTGATTTTTTAGGACTTAGTTTCTAAAAATATTCACTTAAATATAGGTCACAGTGATCTTGAAATAGGTCGCCGCACACCTACCAAAGACGTATACTTTTGTCAAGTTTGATAGCTCTAGGTCTGATAGTTTTCTGGTTGTGAGCCAGACTAGATTTTTTCCATATTTGGCCATAGCATTTTTATTAAAGGTTAGAGCGACCTACTTTTTGTGCCTGACACACTGTCTATTTCAGTAGCATCTTTATTAAAGGTAAGATCGACGTACCTTTTGTAGGCGACACATCGTCTACCCAAGAAGTACCAAATGACAAAGTTTGATAATCCTAGGCCTAATAGTATTGAAGTTATGAGCCGGACACGAATGGACAGACGGACAGCTGGACAGACGAACATAAAAGCCTATATCATAATGTTATATTCTGGAAATCTATATGGTGATCATTCAGATTCAGTTATTAAGTTGTGGGTGTTAAGATCTGCCTTAAAAGGTATATAAATGCGTTATAGAGCGATTCATTCCAGTGTAAGCAGCGGAGAATACAAGACGTGTGTGAATTGACAAGGTACGACCCCCGATTGTTATTATTATACCGCTCGACACGTTACAATAATACGTCCCGTCCTAAGACGGATAGAAATAAAAATGCATGATTAAGCTTAGAATTACGTACCATTCTGTAAAATGTACAATGTATTTATTACTTATTCATAATTTGAATTTGATTCCCTGTTGTTTCCCTTCCTATCCCAAAGGGTCATGATTTGAACAAATTTAAATCTTCAATACATGAAGATGCTTACATGTCAATATGACTAAACATAGCTTTTCTGTTCTTGGGATTTTCCCATTCACTTTCCTAACGTAAAACTTAAATCCACCATTGAGATCCCACTCTACCCCTGTGGGTTTTCATTTGAACAAACTAAAATCTGCACTACCTGAGGATGCCTCCATATGAATATCACTAATCATGGCTTTGCTATTCTTAAGAAGATCATTTTTTTGAATACATTTTTATAAATGTAAAACTTGGATCCCCCATCGTGGCCCCACCCTACCCCTGGGGGTTATGATTTGAACAAACTAAAATCTACACTACCTGAGGATGCTTCCATATAAATATCACTAATCATGGCTTAGCAGTACCTGAGAAGAAGGTTTTAAAATGTTTTTCAACATATTCCTATGTTAAACTTTAATTGGCCATTGTGGCCCCACCCTACCCCCAGGGATCATGATTTGAACAAATTTACACTACACTACACTATCTAAGGATGATTTTACATGAGTTTCATCTTTCCTGTCAATAATTCTTAAAAGAAGATTTTTCCTATATACGAGGGTTGTCCCAAAAAGTCGTAGACAATGTTTATAACTTTTTTAAACATGCAACCAATACTAACTAAATTTTGCATAGGCATAATATATTCAATGTTCTTTAAAATTGTGAATTTGTACATATATATCTTTTATAATTATAATAATAGGACGATTTATATGATGGCCAATAAGGTCTGTCTGCGCACGAACAAAATTCGGAATAATTTAAGTATATAACTATTAAAATTTGCTTTTATTTCTTTAGTACTACGTAAAATATTGCACTCAAATTGGGATGTGAAACCCAAATCGAAATTTTTATCATATGTCAAAGTTTCATATATATAGCATTAAAAACAGACGATTGATGTCATGATTTTCAAACTGTTGTTGGAATTGAGTTTCATGAAAATGACGATGTTAAATGCGTAACTGGCACACGGAGATGTAATAAATTGGTTTGGATATATAGTTTATATACATCAGAGACGAGAAAAAAGAGTACAAAAGTGACATTACACACTAGATTTTATAGAGAAGTTATTTTTAAATGGCATGAGATTCAATGAGAGTTGTAAATGTAAAAAATAATTACAGCATGTAAGAAGTAGAGTATTGTTTGTTAAACACAGACAATGGGGAACGATCTGTGCCACGGACGACGTCAAACAACGCATATTCTCTGCTGCCTACAATGTAAGGCGATCTTTCGACTCAAGTTCGACTAAAATTTGAATCTGCTTTAAAAAAAACAAACGAACAAAAACAAAATCGGACAGTAGTGAATTCAAGAAAATCCCTTAGTCAAGAGTTGTTTTTCACTTTAAAAAATATTGAATGTTAAAGAACGCGTGTGAAACAGAAAAAGAGATCATGACGATATAAGGGACGTAAATTAGGTTTGCTTTTGTGCGACGATGTACACTTACATCCTTTTTGAATTTTTTTCATAATTTTCTTATTAAATGTGATATCATGATGAAACTTGAAATGCATGATCATAGAATGTTACTTTTCTCTATGACAAGGAAGAGAATTTTTTTTTATCGAAAAGAAACAAAACTGTGTTCCCTGTGTACGACTTTTTGGGACAACCCTCGTACAATCCTTTGTATAATTTTGATCGGCCACTGTGGCCTCATCCTAACCCCGATGGTCATAATTTTAACAAAATTGATTCTACACTACCTGAGGATGATTTCACATGACGTTCATCTTTCCTGTCTCAATGGTTCTTGAGAAGATTTTATTTTTGTCTATATATTCCTTTGTATCTCCATTATGGCCCCATCGTACTCCCTATGGTTCATGATCTGAACAAACTTAAATCTATACTACCTGAAAAATGGTTTCACAGGAATTCCACCTTTCCTGTCTCAATGGTTCTTAAGAATTTTAAAAGATTTTTTTTCTATATATTCCAATGTGAAAATTTGATCGGCCATTGTGGCCCAAGCATACCCCTGGGGGAAATGATATGAACAAACTTAAATCTACACTTCCTGAGGATGATTTCACATGAGTTTCATTTTTCTTGACAAAGTGGTTCTTGAGAAGAATTTTTTTTTACAATACCATTAATTTTTCATAAAATCATAAATATCTCCCCTCCAAAGAGGGCGTGGCCCTTCATTTGAAGAAACTGCAATCCCCTACAACTAAGGACACTTTATGGCATGTTTGGTTGAAATTGGCTCAGTGGTTCTTGAGAAGAAGATGAAAATGTAAAAAGTTAACGTTGACAACAACGACAGATAACGGACAAATTTTGATCAGAAAAGCTCACTTGAGCCTCTGGCTCAGGTGAGCTAACAAGAGACCCATGGGCCATATCGCTCACCTGAGCACATTATTGTTTTGTTGTTTATAAGTGAATTTTTTTATTGATATACATGTAGCCTTTGTATTCCTTTCTTATTATCCACTTTATGGCTCCTCTTTTCTGCTGAATTCCAAATCTACATTATCTTTTTTACTACCGTATAAGTGGAAATTTTAGCGAAACGCAAATTTACTGATTTCTACCTAAAATCTGGTATTTTATTTTTAGCGAGAAGTAATTTTAGCGATTTTGAAATGCTAACATAAAAAGATATTACAAATAATTCGCAATTAATTTTTACCGATATTCAATTTTAGCGATGTCAGCATCCTCGCTAATAATGCCAAAATTAAATCCTCGCTAAAAATTCTACTTATACGGTATTTTAAATTGATGATCAATCATCAATGATGATTTCCCTATGTATTCCTATGTTAAACTTTGATACCCAATTGTGACCTCACCCTACCCCCGTGGGTCTTAATTTGAACAGAAATAAAATCTTTCCTTGCAGAGGATTCTTCTGAAAGTGGTTCATCTTTCCTGGCCCAGTGGTTCTGAAGAAGATTTTAAAAGATTTTTCTATGCATTCCTATGTTAAATTTTGATATCCCACTGTGGCCCCACCCTACCATGGGGGTCTTGATTTAAATAAACTTGAATCTTCGTTACCAAACGATGCATCTATACAAGTTTCATTTGTCCTGGCCCAATGGTTCTGGAGTAGAAAAATTTTAAAGGTATTTCATATGTATTCCTATGTTAACCTTTGATATCCCATTGTGGCCCCACTATATCCCGGGGGTCATGATTTGTACAAACTTGAATCTTTGCTACCTGAGGATGCTTTTACACAAGTTTCATCTTTCCTGGCCCATTGAATTTTGAGATGAAGATTTATAAAGATCTTTCCAATGTATTCCTTTGTTAAATTTTGATACCCCACTGTGGCCCCACCCTAAGCCCAGGGGTCAAGATTTGAACAAACTTGAATCTACACTACCTAAAGGTTGTTCCACCAGTTTCATCATTCCTGGCCCAGTGGTTCTTGAGTAGAAGATTTTCTAAAGATGCAATTTTTTTTTCACTAATTCATAATTATCTCCCCTTCGAAGAGGACATGGCCCTTCATTTTAACAAACTTGAATTACCTTTACCCGAGGATCCTTTGTAGAAAGTTTAGTTGAAATTGGCCCAGTGCTTCTTGAGAAGAAGATGAAAAAGTGAAAAGTGAACGACGACAACAATGACAGACAACGGACAAACTTTGTTAAGAAAAGCACTTGAGCCTTTTGGCTCAGGTGAGCTAACAAAAGACGCATGGGCCATATCGCTCACCTGAGACCTAAAAAATATGTTTGTTTCCTGTAACCTGGCCGACACATTCAAATGACCCCCAGGTAATTCTTTTTTTCAGACAAATGGCAAAACTTCGTTTGATCAATCAGCTGTTCCATTTATTAACAAGAGGCCCTGGGGCCACATCGCTTACCTGAGCAAATCTGCTAGGAAAAAGCACAAATCAGATCATAACTGAAAAGTTTACTGAAAGGGGAGGGGGAGGGGTTGAATTTTTAAAAATATCCATCCTATATTAAATACTCCGAAATTAATTCAAAGCAGTTTAGAGTAGAAAAAGATTTACCAGGAGAAATTTTCAAAAATATAATTATCTAAGCAGAAATTAATTAATTAAGAATGTATTGATGTCTATGGGAAAAAGCAAATTTTTTAAAATAAAAATTCAAATACTATGAATATCAAAAATATGCTATGGTGAAAAGATGCATATGATTATTAAGAATAGAAAAACAATTTAAAAATAATTTTTCACCTAATAGATGTTTTAAAAATTAATTTTATTAATTAAAATCAAAGGGGGATACATCTTCAAGGAAGGGTCACGGTCAAAAATTAGGACACATTTCACTCTTACACATTGAGTCAAAAACATATTGATTATGTCTACAAATACTGAATATTCAACCAATATATATCTGTTATGCATTCAAATTCATTGAATCTGAGGCTATTATGGATCGGATACCTTAAAACGGTCATTTCTTTATAAAGAAAGTTTTTTCCTGGGACCCTCAGTTATACTACCGGGTGAGTAATACATAACAAAAATATTTAATCTGGACAATTGGTATGTATAACTTACCCTTTAAATTGTAAACTCCAATCTCAAGAACTTCTCCGCACCACCATTCCCTTAGTCAGTCCAACTTAGCTGCTGAATCCTTCCTCCCCCCCCCCTAAGGACTACTTAATTATAACGAAGAATCTGGCCTGGGCCTCTCAGTCTATAGCCAAACGTAAAAAACATTTTTATACAATAAAGTACAAACACTGGTACACTGTAGCAATCACAGTATACAGTGGACCCCTAGATATCCGGTCGCTTCAGTAAAGGAACGAAAATTTTAACGTTTTTTTTTTCTCCGATTATTTATTTTCTTTATTGATTTATTTCACTGGTTACTCAGGTTTCCAGACGCTTCACATATCCGTACAAATTAACTAGGAACCAAAGCGTCCGGATAATGAGGCTCCACTGTATTCTAATGGAAATAAATTATTTGAATAAAACTGTGTTACAATTAAAATTTTAAAATATCGAAAATGGCGTTAACCTACCTATCAAGTACACCTCATTTCACAAAATTAAAACCTGGATCAATATCAACTAAAGGTATTTCTTTCTAATTAAGGAATAACTGTCTTATTTTTCGAATTCATGAAGTGATCAATGGATTGGCTTGTGTGATAATTTGCACAAACGCCGAAGGCGTTTATGCATGAAATTATCACACAAGCCAATCCATTGATCATCTTCATGAATTCGAAAAATCTGAGAGTTATTCCTTATATTTACACATGCTTTGATTCCGCCAATCAACGGGCTCCAAGCCTGCTTCTTCCTAGGTGTTGTCCCGCCCTGCACGTGGTTTTTTTTTTTGGAACCGCGCCAAAACATTCATGAGGAAATCAATTACATTTACATTGGGTAATTTTATCTCGGACAAAGACATTGGAAATGTAAATATTGTCACATCAATGTGTAAAACTCTGTATATAGTATTCGCAGTTAACTTAGCAAATACAATCTACGTTAATCATATACAATATAACACTTACTGAAAAAGGTCTGCACTTGTCAAGGAGAGGGAGGATCTTTGCACACAACATACACGTGTGCTGATAAAAAAAAAAAAAAAAACGTGTATCGGAGGTGGCTGGGTAATTCGTACTCTCTTTATCTCGCTCGTCTAACGCTTATCAGTACTGTATGTACTTGAGACACGTAATAAGAATTGATATTTAGGTATATCATTTTTTATCACCATACACTGTTAGATTTTTCTGATCTGATTTTGTTTGATGTTTATTGTTCACGTTTCTTTTAAACTTTCATAGAAAAAGATTTGAAGTTAATATGTTTTCTTTAATTTACCACTTTTTCTAAGAATTTAGAAAGCAATTAAAGTTTGTACTGTGAAAGGATCAAGCAAACTGTGTCAATCAAACCCATCAAAAAATTTAAAATTTTTATAATCTTTAGATAAAATAAAATTTAAGAAATATTTTCCTGTGAAATGTATTATGATAAATGAGTCTTGATATTATAAAAAAAATAACTTCAAGTATGTATTAATGAAAAATATTGAAGCTAGTTTTAGTCTAAAAAAAATAAATTAATTTAGATTCCTTATTTTTGCGAGTCCTTATTATCGCAGAAGGCCTCTTCAACGTTAAATCTCGAGAATAATAATTCGCAAATGGATGGTTAATCAAGAGATTTAACATTGTTTTACCATCATAGAAATAGAAATGAGTAACTTTATTTCGCGAATGGTACTTCTCGTGAAATAACACAATACTTAATTCCACGTGAATATTTTGGAATTCAAAGTACATTCAGTGTACAAATGTTAGAAAGCAAATCCACTTCATAGGTATCATCATTTTGCCCTTAGTGTTATCTACGAAGTTTAGCAAACTGGAGCTCTGTTATTGTTAAGGTTTGAGATTCACCGGGTGTTTTCAATCTGCCCACTGCATGGACAGAAAATATACTGTGTGCAGGTTTTGCTTTCGAACATTTTTACTCTGAATTTTTTGGATTATAGTTTTAATATTATACAGAAAATGTTAACTTCAAATCTGTGTCTATGCACCTTTAATGTTTTTAGACACAATATTAGGATGAGGATGAATTTGATGATAGAGAAAACGGACATCATCTTTTGATACCTGTGTGTTTTACATTATACCCAATTATATGTATCATTTAATACAGGAGCGTCCTCTTAAGTACATGACCTGTTTCATTAGCCTGTATTGTACCTATTTTTTTTCAATTGTTGGTGATGTAAAATAACAATTACAATTTATTTTATTAGATATCTAATATCTTTAGACAATTTTTTTTGAAAAGTTGTATTCCTCACTGAACGTATTATCTTCATAATGGTTCAAAGTAGGGTTAAAATGAATGAATAAAAGAGAGCCTTCTAAGATTTTACGTGAATATATGTGAATATATGTTTGATTTTGGATCGCTATCCTAAAATACTTAATTAACAGAACAATATGTGTAGTATTTTACACAGATCGTAGCAACCCTTTACTAGTAAAGTATCAGCCTACTAAACTTTGGTTTTGACCTGACAGAGGCCGCGTAGCAGCCGAAGTCAGGGCAGGTCACTAAGTGAACCAGGTCGAGGGTCCTTATTTCATCATTTTAAACTCAAAAAGGATAATCAGTTGCTTCATTATACCGATATATATATATTGAAAAGTATGAATCTCTAACAGTTATTATCAATTCTTTTTTTGATCGGGATCGGGATTTGTTACACTGCGTGTAGGGAAGTTGTTTATAAATATTGACGTCTATAACATGTATGATGTATAAGCCGTGTAAGTTTTTGCATCATGAATTACTGATGAAAACAATGTTTGGTTGATAGCGACATATATTGCTATGACTAACGATTACTTTTCTTCTACATAGTCAAAATTTAACACAGAATTCAACTCTTTACAGAGCCGCTTATACATTCCACTGAACTGAATTGTAACGATATTTTAAAATAAACTGTTTAAGTTAACGATCAAATTTTACTGCGTTCTGTATGGTTAAGGAAAACAGACAATGCACAATTTTAAAAACATGTTGCTCTTCTAAAATAATTATTATTTTATGAATTAACTTCACTCGAAAAGGAATTTTTGATTAGGAGGTCATTTTTAGCGGTCATTAATTATAATGAACGGGTCATTATATCCCACGTGCAATGATTCCTAGGTCATTATTGCTGTAAACAGTGCCATTTGGAGTCATTGTTGTGTTTTAAAGTTTTCTTTAGCAACCAATCAAATTCGAATATATCAATAAAGGTTGAATAAAAATAATTAATGTCAATGATTCCAAAAACTTGTACTATGAATACATAACTTTAAAAAACCTTTAAAAATCTCATGAGCTTGACTTTCTCAAATAACCTAGGAAAATATAATTATTATTAAAGATTTATGAAGCAATTGGAAGAGACGAGGAAATCAGTGGAATACAAGAAATCACTTTTGGAAATTTTATGATACTCCACAGTCAGCTTAAGGCATTATGCTGAATGTTTAAGTGTTTTTTTTTTTAAATTTTGAAGTATTGTAGAATATTTTGGAAGTTTCTAGTATGCATGAATCAGCCTGGCCTTATGTTGAATTGTACCTGTATCTTACACTTTGGTTTAGTTTATGAAAATTTTGCTCTACAGAGAACAGAAAATTCATGGAAGGTTCGGGTGAATCAACTGTAATGTCGAAATATGACCGATTTTGAGCGCCAAGTTTAGGCAAGTTATTGTAAAAGCGGCTTACCGTTAACTGCAGCTTGATATCCTGACCTCCTAATGTCATTGTGCCTTTCAAATCGATGATGATGCACAATCCGATCAATCAATAATTAATAATTGGCCATGATTTGTTACATCCATGTATTTCTCCCAAAAATCTTGCAATTTTAATGGCATTATACACTTTGAATCCTCTCAGGTATTTCTTAATTACGTCAAAAACACAAGTGACGCATCTTATGAATATTTATGAGATTTTGTCAAAAATTGATCATGTGATCACATTACTAAACAACGCAAGATGGTTTATCCTATCTAAGCCAGTAGGTTATTTTACGAAATCTTCTAATTCTCATTTAAAAAAAAACTGTGTTTAAAAACCAGTTTTCAAAAGGAAAACGAAATATAGGTCAATTTTGCATTTTGTGGCTTATTTTTTTCGATTTCGTCGATCGCTCACGCGATCGTCTATATATTGTACAGCGCCTTAGGTGGCACCTATTTCAGCGCCATATTCACAGGGACCGGTAAACTAGAAGTATCCCGAATATTTTTTTTTCGAATTTGAAAAACCAATTTCTGGTCTACAAATCACCCAGAATAGAAAAAGATCTCCTTAGACATTTCGTGAGTTCGAAAAATGGCATAAAAATAATAATATTGTGCCAGTTGAATTTGTGGTACCTGGACCCCTCCTCCTGAATGTTTCTATCATGACACTTGTTGTATGTGACGCTCCCAAGAAGGTCAATAGTTAATACCAATCAAATTAAGTCGGTTTATTATCTTGTCTGTTGATATGAAAATATAACTTTCTTTCAGATTAAAGTTTTAAGATTTCGGGGCGGAGGGGGTGGGGTGGGGGCTTAAAATAGAATCTCGCTTATCAAAGACAAAGAAGGAAAGGCAAAGGGGAGTTACGAGACCTCAAGAAATTAAGAATTGCTTTGGAAATAGAAATGCAGGAGAACATTTCTAGCTACGGGGATTATTTACAGTAAGTTAGACAAAACGCTATTTTCCCTTTTATTGATACAAAAGGTTTTTTTTAAATGGAATTTAATGAAAGAACAAGAGGCCCATGGGCCACATCGCTCACCTGAGCACCTTTGGTCGGCCATTGTGGCCCCGCCCTACCCCTGGGGGTCATGATATGAACAAACTTGAATTTACACTACCTGAGGATGCTTCCCTATAAATATGATCAATCATCGCTTGGCTATTCTTGAGAAAAAGATTTTTAAAGAATTTTCCTATATATTTCTATGTAAAACTTCATCTTTGGTCGGCCATTTTGGCCACGCCCTACCCTCAGGGGTCATGATTTGAACAAACTTGAATCTACACTACCTGAGGATACTTCCATATAAATATGATGAATTATGGCTTTGTCATCATGAGAAGAAGATTTTTAATGAATTTTCCTATATATTTCTATGTAACACTTTGGTCGGCCATTGTGGCCCCGCCCTACCCCCAGGGGTCATGATTTGAACAAACTTGAATCTACACTACCTGAGGATGTTTCCATATAAATATGATGAATTATGGCTTTGTCATTCTTGAGAAAAAGATTTTTAAAGAATTTTCCTATATATTTCTATGTAAAACTTTGGTCGGCCATTGTGGCCCCGCCCTACCCCCGGGGGTCATGATTTGAACAAACTTAAATCTACACTACCTGAGGATGATTCCATATAAATATGATGAATTATGGCTTTGTCATTCTTGAGAAGAAGATTTTTAAAGAATTTTCCTATATATTTCTATGTAAAACTTTGGTCGGCCATTTTGGCCCCGCCCTACCCCCGGGGGTCATGATTTGAACAAATTTGAATCTACACTACCTGAGGATGTTTCCCCATAAGTTTCATCTTTCCTGGCACAGTGGTTCTTAATAAGAAGATTTTTAAAGCATACAACCAAATTTTCATTTATTCCCAATTATCTCCCCTTGAATGAGGGCGTGGCCCTTCATTTGAACAAACTTGAATCCCCTTCACCCAAGGATGCTTTGTGGCAAGTTTAGTTGAAATTGGCCCAGGGGTTCTTGAGAAGAAGTCGAAAATGTGAAAAGTTTACAGACAGACAGACGGACAGACAGACAGTCGGACGCCGGACAAAATGTGATCAGAAAAGCTCACTTGAGCCTTCGGCTCAGGTGAGCTAAAAAGTGAGCTAGCGTCACATACCCCACGCTCTCCTAAAACTTGACGATGAAACACATAATGAAAGACACAGTGCACTTTTTATATATAGTATAGATCAAAAAGGGCAATAATTGCAAAAAATCTTCACATCAACATGTCTTGCATATGAGGACATTTAAATGTGGAATGAAGTTTCTAGATATATAAGTGAATAAAAATTTCTTGGCAATATACCCATCCACACATTAATTTGAAGTAGGGTCGGGTGGGTGGGGTGGGGAGAAATTTTCTTGAATAATAGGCATATCTTTTGGATAAAATAATGGAATATGACCTAAATATCTGCATAGATTGACGAAACTATATGTACAACAGTTTAAGAGGAGTGGTGCTGACGAACTGTTCATCTCTATATTCAAAATATGGCCAAAAAGACTAAGTTTGAAAAAAATAAAATCGGAATTTCCTGATATTATGCACATCTACACATTGTGTCCTAAATATCTGTAAAGTTCGACTAAATTCTGTGAAGTGGTTTATTAGGAGTTGCGCTGACAAACTCTTCATCTCTATATTCAGGATATGGTCAAATGCCTAAGTTGAAAAATGCAAAAAGTCTCAAAAAATTGAAGAATCCGCATTTCCTGGTAATATGCAGATCTACACATTGTGTCCTAAGTATCTGCAGAGTTTGACGAAATTCTGTGCAGAGGTTTATGAGTAGTTGCGCTGACATACTGTTCATCTCTATATTCAAGGTATGGCCAAATGCCTAAGTTAAAAAGGTGTGGAATTTCCCGGAAAAATAATGAAATCGGAATTTCCTGGTTATATGCACATTTACACATTGTGTCCTAAATATCTGCAAAGTTTGACGAAATTCTGTGCAGAGGTTTATAAGGAGTTGCGCTGACCTAGTGTTCATCTCTATATTCAAGGCACGGCCAAATGCTCAGCTGTTTATGAGGAGTTGTGCTGACAAAAAAAAGGAGGACTGACTGACTGACGGACGGGTCAAAAACATTATACCTCCCGCAAGTAGTTGCGTGGGGTATTATTAACTTCCTTGTACATTGATAGATGTCAGATTGATTTTTGTAATCTTATGGGGGGATGCTTAAAGGGGGTCAATGCATAGGTGACTCTTTCCATTTGTATCTTGCCTTTCGCAAAATGCTTTGGGGGACTTGGCAGGGTATTACTTGAATAGATATACATTGTATCCATTCAAGTTCAGAATGAAACAATTTTCCGAGGTTCAACATTAATATTTACTAGAAAATATATCAGAAATGCTTTATCATACGTTTTTTGGGGAAAATACTACTTCATTATTTAACAAAAAGAATAATAACGATATTGCAAAACAAAAGGTTCCAAAAATTTAGAAACAATAATCAATTTGCTATAGAAACTTACAACAATCCTGATTTCCTTTTAATATTTTCAATGTTATGTATTTCTCCTATATTTTTGATCTCAGCTATAGGACGTAATATATTAATATGTTACAGAAAGAGTTTTAAGATGAATGTCCACTATCAATTATCAGCTTTTGTTACAAACACACTATGCATGGGTACATGTAATGTACATATATTACATTTTATTAACAAATCAATAATGCACATTCAAACTCAGAAAAAGAAATAATGTATCACTTTATTATAATGCTGCTGTAGTATAATACAATCACAAAAAGCGCTGTAGTGGAACAATGATGTATCATAGCATTGTACATGTAAAATTCTTACTCTGAAAAAATCTCAACAAAGAAATCATCTTTTTCTTACTAACATATACATGGACGAAGGAAAAAAAAACACGGTCTCAATTTATCACAAAATTCACATATTGCATTGTTACATACCTTCGACTTTGGTAACAAATTTGTCCTTTGTCCGAATATCGTTATATACATATAAATATGTTTACTTGCATTTACACACTGCAAGTAACTATATAAACTATTCTCCTTTTCCATTTTTATATTTTTTTAAAGTCAATATGTACCCTGTTTTTGAAATTAGAAACCTGAGGAGTAAAATATTCACCGAGGCTGAAGGCTGATTTGAATATTGTACTTCGACAATTAGTAAATCTTCGTATTAACCAAAAACAACTTTTTTATTCTATAATTCAACCGAGATATCAGACTAGTTTATCAATCGTATTAAATTTCCTTCAGTCCAAGCCCCCAGATAATATCTTTGATAGGTGATCAGGTGCAAGTGAAATAGTCTTTTAAAACTTTGTTGTATCAATTGTAATTTCCAAGATACAGAAATATCCATCCTTCTGTTCACTTGGGAGGGCACACGAAGGTGAACAGAACATATTGTAAAAGCACATATATTTCCGAAAGGTAAATTTTTCATGGTTTGAGGAAAATATATTGGTTTACCGTGATGCATTTTCGTGGTTGAAGACTTTTTAAGTAGTAATAAATGTGAAAAATTTCATTTCGTGGTGGACATAAATTTTTGGGTCTCTGTATAGCTAAAAAAAAAACAACGAAAATTAAACCCCAGGAAAATGAGTGATTTTACAGTAGTACTTTTACTACATTGCTGGATCTCCACCAGTCAGAGAAATTGGAAATGTAACAAAAAGGAATCGTTTCCACGGCTCAATTATCAGCCTTTGTTACAGACAAGGTCAATGTATTTGTATTTTCGATTAACATATCCATACAAGGACAATGAACATGTACACATATCAATGACAAATTAAAACTGCATATCTAAACTCAAATTCCAAATGATAATAATGATGCTTTTATATAAAATAGTAACAAAACACTGTTGTGGAATCATCATATATCATAACATATCGTCTTTGTTTCGACATATCAAGAGAACAGGACAACAAATCACAAATCATGTATTGCGGAACAACTCCTCTTCCAGTTCTGGTAAACAGGATTCAAGTAAAGACCTGACATTTCTCATAGAGATACCCGACTCCACCAGCAGATCAGGTCGTTTCATGTCTCTCTTAATATAATAATTATAAAATATTTTGGGGTGTCCATTTAAAAGCATCCCGTACACTTTAATGGTGTCATTAACAACGATAGTGAGAGGGGCACCTGAAGCACCATGAGCAGTGCTGCTGGAGCTATGAAATAAAATTTTGTCCTCAGATATAACACACGGGGCATAGTCATCTATTATATCGAGCTCCTTTTCTGGCCACTCCTTTTTAAAGAAAGCAATTCCTTCTTTTTTTAGTTCAGTAAGTTCTGTTTCGTTGTCTATGATTGTACATCCTGGATCATGTTGAAGTGGGATTCCATCAGGATGACCAAACACGTGGATCTTTTCTTCAGAAATGTTATATTCCACTAGATTAAAGAATCTCGGTTCCGACTCTAGCTCTGCAAGCTCTAAAATTAGGACATCATTTTCTGGAGATACAAATGCTATATCAGATTTGAATTTGGCAATCCTTCCCACTGCTCCTTCCTTCAAAAATTCAAATTTGATTTCATGTTGCTCGGTTAAAATCGTCGCTAGTCCCATTACTCTACCTGTGAAAAATACGGGGAAAAAATCACTTAAAATATTTTTTATTAAAATACAACACTTTCATTTCTAGCGTAAAATTATTGTACAGTGCATAAAAATTGGAATGGCAAAATTTATTTTCTTATTTCAAAAGGCTTATTGAATGTTTAACCTCTTTTGGTAAATTATTCTTTATTGTCACCGTTTATGTGTGTTTTACAATGAATGTATCGCGGTAAAGAAAGTTAATATTCATGACTCAAATGAAAACCTTGATTCAAAAACCAAAGTTAATTGGATAAAAATCACATGATGCTGTGATTCCAATGCCTTATCTACCTTTCAAGTTATTCTCACTAAACAAATTGCGAAACAACCTGGATTTTCTACTTTCTGGGAGACCAAATAACTGATTTTACAATATGACCTTTAACATCAAACCTCAATATGTGTGAATAGACAATTAAAAAAATCTTTAAAGAAAACTCTAAACAATGAATAATAACATCGTCGACAGCGAGGGAAACAGGGTGAGGGTAAAGAAATCCACTGTTACAATGCAGTTTTATTTGTCACCTTATTTTATAAACAATTTTTACATCACATAGCATTGTTATATTTTGTTGTTTTCATAGATTATGAAATTATGATATCAATTTAGTTTCTGTCAGAGCGATAAACAACTTTGTCGTCTGTATCAGCTGCTCCAGTTGGCGATAATAGGATGTGAATTTATACCTATGGAGATTTAATTTTCACAACATCGTCTTGAAATGCCTGGACTTTCTTGATCGTAAGTTGTATTTTAAAGCTGAAATACCGCAAGTTTTTATGTTATTTACTTTCTAAGATTCCCATGCAGCATTTATGTATTCACTTAAGAAATAAACAACGTTATTCAGTGAACATGGCGTTATGAATAGCAATTGCTCTGCTGGCATATTCCATGATGCGCGCTAGCGCATCATGGAAAATATGCCAGCAGAGCAATTGCTATTCATAACGCCATGTTCACTGAATAATCGTTGTTTATTACTTATATTTGCATTTTACCCCTTGTGGCTCCCCTGTCACAGACCTTGACATTGAGGGCTAATTGTATTCAGCGCGTCGGCGCACCAGCGCGTCCATCTCATCCCAGTATCACACAAGTATTTTCTCCCTGCATTAAAACACTCAAATGACAGCGATTTTATTTATAATTTAAGCATTATCGACTATATTCAAGTTGACACCCCGAGCCCGATTGTATTTCTTTTGGTTAGGTGGATCCAGAAAATTTTCTCTAGGAGGTGGTGGCTCAAATCGGAAGGGGAAAGGATTTGAGACAAAGCCTTATGTTAATTTAAAGAATTGAATTTTCCAGGGATCCGGATCGCCTTTGATCCCTGCATGTCTAACCACGATTTATGCAAGTGTAATCCGAAATTTACTGCATTTTTTTAGTTGACCTATCTCTCTTTTTTCTCTATCTCTACATACATATTATATATTAATAGTTATACCTCCAAACTTTAACTATAGCATTAAAAAATATTTAGTGCTTCTGTCTTTTATAAATCAACTTTATGCATAACACATAGGCATCAGAATGGGGGGGGGATATAAAGATGGACAATTGGACATCATATAGGTATTCAACATTGGGGTGTAGGTTCATTTAGCCCCCCCCCCTCCCCCAACTCTCATCAGACAAGGCAGTGTAGTCCTAGAAGAAGGGTAAGTGGTAGTGTAAGTGGTAATGTTTGAAAGAAAAAAATTGGTACTAAAAGAAGTCCCCCCCCCCCCCCTCACGAAATAGGATATTCTTGTTTTGACAATAGACACTTGCTAAGATTTTTCAGGTTTGAAATTTATTTTTTTTCTTTCACTTACCCCCCCCCCCCTTTCAATTTGCTTCCGACGCCATTGTAACAAATTAAATTTACCAGTATTACATTATGACCCTATACTCTAGAGTTTAGCCTCCTTTTAAAAACTTGATTTTCATGGCAGTAAGCTACCATACATTGGTATACGTGTTTGAACAAGATGCCTTGTTACTTTTAAAAATAATACTACTAAAGATTAACTTGTCTTTATTAGAGGATGGGGAGAACCTTTAGTTACAGAAATGTTTTTGCTATTAATAGCCTTTTAAACAAACTTTAGGTCAGAAAAATACTTTGAAATTTATTGAAAATAATAGAACAGAGGAAAAGTCTTATTTTTTTTGGCATATCATTCTAAGGTTATGGTGATCAAAACAACCTTACCTTTTTGACTCTGTAGAATCTTTTTTTCATTTAATTCTCACAACTTTCTTATGAAGCAAAAATGAATATAATTTGAAAAAGTTGTGAACAAAGTATCAAACATTAAATTTCATTGAAAATCATCAAAATCAACTCCTATTGGTACTTTCAGTACTTTGATTAGTATAGGAATATCGAGTGAAATATCGAGCCCGATGCTGACAAATATTTTTTAAGCGATAAATTTTATATACAAAATCTGTTGCGCGAGCGCGCCGACGCGCCGAATACAATTAGCCACATTGAGATATTGCATAAAAATAAAACGTTTTCAAACTGTGTATTATTTTAATTTTCAAAACATTTAGACTGTGAAGATTATAAACGTAAGTATGTATAATAAAAGTTATTCGTTTAAACTGTTCATATAAACGATTTTATTTAGAAGATTAAATGTCAAACAGGGAACTATATTTTATGCGCTATTATCTGCGCATGACTGCGCGAGTTGGTTTCACATGATTGTGGTTCATTTGAAATGAAAGTTATATATAGCAAAGAATCCAGGAACTTTTTGATAACTGGGCTGCAGATGATGTGGTGGTGGTTTCAACAGCCTGAACGGGAACTAACTCATTTCTAACTGGTGGGGTTGGAACTAATGCATGATTTTGGACATCGGACGCTGTTGACGAGGTTTGTGAATGTGACACTTTAAGTGAGGACAATGTAGAGCTTAGGGCCCTTTTTTGAGTAGTTGACACAGTCCTGTTGTAGGATCTTAATGATGATTCATTTCGATGGCCAGATAGAAACATAATATGTCGCGCTTCCCATCCGGAATCATTAAGATGTTGTATAGTCGTGGCGCGGATGCAGTGGGGCGTATATTTCCTCTCAACTCCAGCATTTTTACATATATCAGGCAGAAAATTTTGAAAGGTGCGTTTTGACAATGGCTTTGAAGTAAACCAAATATCATTTTCTGGATTTGAGAGGGCCGCTTTGTCATACTGATTAAAGAGAGATTTGGCATCAGTTGGAGACTTTTTCAGTAATAATTTTAACATTTTGACAGGACAGCACTCCGTTCCATCAGCATACATCCTTTTATCGGATGGGGCTTCCAAACTCTTGATTCCACCTTGGAAGTTTTTTTGTTGTGTGTCATGAGACAAAGTAACATATTCGCCATTTTCATCATTATAGTTCATTTATGAGAGGAAATGAATTGAAGTGAGGAACCAGACAGCATGTCGAAGAATAACAGGAGAAGATGAACCTTTTTTAAGTAAGTGAAAAATTTTTGCAGATCCCCAGGCTCAATGATCTCTTTGTGGTTAGTAGGGAGAGAAGTTCCGGATCTCATCCTCTCCTTAAGCAAGCCATCCAGTGCCCGGTTGGCCATTTTAAACTCTTTATCGCGTACAATATCAATATTTCTATTGATGTCTTGAAGATGGCGGTTTATAGCTCCTCTTATATTTATTAAAGAGTTTTTGTGATAGAGGCCTACATCGGAGGTTTTTCCACCAACTCTCTTTTGAGGAACCGCTTCGCAATAAAATTTCATGAGTATTTCCCCAAGACTGACAGCAGACACCGTTTGTGTGTCTAAATACTTTCCAAACGTTTCCATATTCCAATCTAACAAGAAAAAAAAAATGGCTCATATGAGCACACACAAATTCTATTAGAATGCCCCCCCCCCTCCCAAAATAGTAAACATTTTTATTTTTACATGTATTATTTATTTTAATCATGTTGATTGATTAAATTTAAAAACATTCCCCCATTTTTTAGATTGTTTTAAAATTATATAAAAAATGTATAGCAGTTCCTTTTTAATATTGTTTAATTAATTTATTTTTTTCTGCAATTTTTTTTTTTAATTATAGAGTTTATTACCTTGAAATATTTTCATCCCCCATGCCGTGTTTTTCTTTGTTGAGGATGACTGGTGGGAGTCATGGTAATTTTTAAGCTGCTCCTCTGTTACATTTCTGAACCGTTTGTTTTTTACATCTACCGCAGGGGTTTCTGGTGGGGGTAATTCAGGAAAAGCGGGTTTTTTAATTTCTTTTTCCATTATTTTCAGTTCAGGAGCAGTTGGATCGAAGATATTTAATATTTCCTCATCGCTGTTGGAAATTTCAGGCACTACATCCGAAGGGTTCATTTTAAAATTACCAAACGTGTCCTCTGCAGTTGTGTATTCCATAGCGGCAAGATCAAAGCAGACGATCAAAGAGTCAAAGACCCGGATATACTATGTTTATTGCACTATTTAATATTTGACAAGTAAAAGCATGAGATGTTTTGTTTATTTATTTAACTAAATCGATAAATTATACACTGTACATGTTTTTAAAAGGTTTTAATTTCCTTTGTTTTGTCTACGATGTTTATGATATATAAATAGACTGCGGATTTCCCCTTGATGTAAAGCCATATCACTTTGAAGTATTACTACGCCGATCTTTCCGGTTTAAGAAGAGTTATCTTTCTTTGTACATAGAGGCTTATGCAGATAAATAATAAAAATTAAACATCTGTTGTTTGTTTCGTATTTTTTAATATACAATTAAGCGTGATTCTTGTAATTGATTAAAAAAAAAAACAATATTATAAAGTAAACTACTCCATAATTTATTTTAAATTTTTGATAAATTTAATAACCACTTAATTTTTATACTTATGAGAATATTCCCTATATATACAAGTTAAAATTACTGTATTATTGTAGAACTCTCTCAGCAAGAATATCTGCGAAGCAATTGCTAACACAGACAGAGCAGTTGCTATTATAGAAATATAAATGCAGTTGAAATTTGGGGGTTTATAGTGGGAAAAAGAAGTAGATATGCAAATATATATATTTGCATATCCATTGCCCTCTCTCACTATAAACATGTAGTCAACAACTGCGTTCATAGGACTATAGACGCAACTGTTCCTACTATGAGTGTAATTGCTCTAATCACACTCGTGTAGAACAATTTCTACTACACTTATAGACCGTGTTGCGAAGTATATATATGAAACTTTTTGTTAATGGAATAAAAATAAGTTTTTAATAAAATTCTTTGAGAAAAAAGAAATTCAGAATAATTAAAATAGCTGATTTATATCTTTAAAAATTTAATCTTGGTCTATGTATTTAATTGTATAATAAAACTTTTTAAAAATTGTAGAAAACTGCCCTATTTTTATTTTTTTGTTCATGCACATTAGTTCAAAGAACGATAACTCTTCACACTTTAATAACATTCAGAAAACTAGTTTATCGACTTCAAGAATAATTTCAGCTATGTAAAATAAAAAGAAGAACTAAAAAAAATATAAAAAAAAGCATTCTGGAGTAATAATCATTATAAAAGCATTATCAGTTAAATCGTTGATTTTTGTTAGAGGGTTTCAATAACGTTGATCGATGACGTCACAACTGCATAAAAACAAAACTTCAGAGAATGTGTTGACGGCGCTGCTTGTATCCAGATAACTGTGTTTGAGAAGAAAATACTTTATAATTGTTTGTGATTTATTAGATAAAAGTATCATTGATCAGGTGTACTGATTTTAAAGCCGTATGTTTTTCATTACTGAAGACAAAAGGCCGCGTTTTTATGTTAGTCAGGATTTCATCTGATATTTTTTAAAAAATCAAAGAATGCAAATATAAGTAATAAACAACGATTATTCAGTGAACATCGCATTATGAATAGCGCGCATCATGGAATATGCCAGCAGAGCAATTGCTATTCATAACGCCTTGTTCACTGAATAACGTTGTTTATTTCTTAAATAATTTACATGCCTTTTCAAAATAACTTTGATACAGTTCTTTTTAAGGACAGATGATATAAACAAATTTTACCTTTGGAGGAAATTTAATATCATGTCGAAAGTTTAGAAAAGTGGATAATTCTTAGAATTTTTTCTCCTAAGAAATGGAAAATGAAATAGATTTGGAAAATATTACTAATACATGTATGACATGATATTAAGTCTCCTCCAGAGATAAAATTTGTTTGTATCATCTGTCCTTAATTAAGTCTCACTGCTGTTATATCTTAGTTATGAGTATTTAAAAGGTTAAACCCGTTTATAATTTCGTTCTTAAGAATTGTATGAAGTGTAGGAAAGTAGTTGAGTTTTAATAATTAATATCTTTTTTTTTGATTTTTGAGAAGAACTAAAATATTTGAAATTGACATACATAAAGGAAGACCTTTCTCCTTGCAGGAGGATTACAACTTGATGAATTAAGTTCCAGTTCCTCTAAAATGCAATTAGATAACAAGCCTTAAAACATTGTCTATGTTTTTGCACGCTTTTTATTTGATAGTGAAAATACGTTTTCTATGCTTCACGATGTAGAAAATAGTCAGGCTTAAAAGTTATGTCAATTAACATGTATGCGGAAAGAAAAGAAGTATGTACTTTTAACATATCGAAAATGTTGATGTTGAAGTTTTAAGCCAGATGCTATGGCATTCACAATTTTGAAAGAAGCAACATTGATCATCATAACCATACACTTAGCAGTTGCTTAGTTTGGTTACTTAATACACATATTCAGGGTAGGGGAACAAAAAATACATTTCAACTCATTAGTAGTATTCAGCTATAATCAGTAGTGACCCTACCACAAATGAACCCCTGACCCTAAAGCCTAGATCAGCACAATGCACAATTTTTGACAAGGCATCCTTGCTTTTAAAGAATATTTGATTAATACCGTCGAAGAAGCCGATTTCAAACCAGTCATTTCTAGTACATAAGTACAGCCTCCTCATCGGAATAAGGAAACATACAAAATATTCTACCTTGACTAAATCAGTGCTACAATATGACGTCATAGTAGACAAGATGACGCCAATTTAAGAACACATGTCTTCGTAAAATTATTATTTAGATATTTTTTTTACCTTGTAAACAATAAACACAAATGTTTTTATTTTTATTTGCTGTGTAAGTCATTTCGAGTACAAACTACGATGACGTCATATGTGTATATCAAGTAACTTGGCCTTGGGAATTGTTTATGTCGTGAATTTGGCTATCACAACAGGTACAGTCCCTGAAACGTTCTACTTTCCCACTTGAACGGCGAACAAACGGTGAACGAACGCAGAGCGAACGGTGGGTGAACGATGTGCGAACGGTGAACGGTGAGTGAACACAAAACGCAAACGGAGCGCTAACGCGAGCGCAAAGTGAACGGTGTACGCAAGATGATCGATTTATTCGGAATGCCTCCAATCTTTTCTTTGCATTGAAATTATTCTATCATTCTATAATTCAAATTTCAGATGCTTAAATATAAATAAACAATAAATAAATAAATAAATAAAATACATTTTTGTTCTGTACATATATTAACATGTACCTATGTTTTAAATCGATATTTTCATAATACGATTTTATTTCCCGTAAACCTGTGTATTTTTTCCCAACGCGTGTAGATTAAATATAGAATTAATCTATTAATATAGTGAATATGCTTATACTTTTCACAAACAAAATAATGTGAACATCTGATGATAAAACTACTACTTATAGAATAAATCATATACATTGCACGCGGTTGAAACAAACATACAGTCTTTCCGTGCCAAAGAAATTCTCAGGAAATAACGGATTTTATTCAAATTCACAATTATCTGTTGACATTGGCTGTTATCGTACTGCATAAAACTTCTTGTTTTATTTTAATTCTAATGCAAAATATTCTATATTAATTGATGTGCCTTTTGTATTCTTTAATGACGATTATTTAAGCTAACTTCTCCATGTATCTGTAGACATTTTATTTTGCAGGGAAATGTCATGAAATAAGTAACAGCTGAGTTATAATAATAGAAATATAAATATCATAGATAATTTTTGCAATGAAATAATAATTCTTCAAACACGATATCTAAGTTATTTAATTTAAAAAACATGTAAATCCTTACCATAAAAAGGAAAAGTCCTTTCACTTCGGAGATCCAAATGACAATGAAGACTGAACGATAGGTGAACGGTAAACGCAAGGTGAACGGAAAGTTAACGGAACGAAGAGCGCACGGTGAACGCACACTGAACGAATGGTGAACGAACGGTGAGCAAACGGAAAAATGGGAAAGCAGAAGGTTTCAGGGACTGTACAGAGATACGTAAAATGGAGTTTCAAATGAACATTGTGTGAAATTCATGTGTATTTCAGTTATCTAAACGGGCATGCAAAATCAATTTCAACGATTATATTCTATTTCGAAGACAGTCAGTTATATAGCCCGGCCAGCCTTTTCACTGTCATTCATGGCATAAATAATGCGACAGAACAACAATAAGCTGGATATTTAAACATGTAATGTGTACAGAAGGACAGTTTGCCTTTTGACAAAATTAGAAAGTGCTGCTAAAATACCGAGTTAAGCGGGGTTTAACGAAAAATCTTGCTTCACATGTGTAAAATTCATAACATAGGGCAGAGTTTCGTACAAATGTGTGGAATAATTATTTTACTCACAGGAAAGTGGGATTCTAGCAATACTTTTAATGAAAAATAGATGTTTTTCAACTATATTATTTAATCAAAGACAACACTAAAATTGGGTATTGTTGCTCTGTTAGCTTTTTTATTAAGGAAAAGTTCGCTATAAATTGAAATCACGTGATGTCGTGGCGGTGGTACAAGTCTTTGTGTTAGACACTCTTTTATCTGTATGCAATAGTTATATGTATTAACAGTTTACGTTTATCAGCGGTTTTGGTAATTTATCAAACTTAATTTTCTTAAAAAGTCTAAATTTCCGGAGAAATGACTTATATGCTTCCATAACATACTCGAGGTGACCCTGGGTCTTTAAAACTAATAATCAATTCTTAAGGTCATTGCTCATCATAACTATTGTAACGTGTAAACCTACTGGGTTCTACAAGGGACAAGGGTTCTTTATTAATATATATGTTTTTCCTCTTACTCTATCTGAGTTATAATTGATTGAAACTATGTACAATAAATTGAAGTGGTAGGCCGTGGTTCATAAGCAAGGTAACCTGCACTGTGTTCCTGGAACAGCCAGAGTTCCTATTGTAATGCGAAGTACCAGGTTCTTTCACCCTTATAAAGAATTACTTCGCCCTGGTACCTCACCACAATTCCTCTACACTGTTCTCTTTCCACTACTGCTTCTAACCTTTGCCCTTTTATTTATCAAATAATGCCTTTATTACCTTGCGCTTTATTCTTCCGTTTTCTTGTTCTGATCACTTCAACTGATTCCGTCAGAATAATGCCTGGCAGCTGGGAGCGTCTCATTTATATACCTTTGGACCATTCTACCTACTCAGAGGGGTGATCAGCCTATTGGAAGAGTCCACTTTCCAATTTCCCCTCTGATTCGGCTATAGTAGGCATGGGCAAATACGCTACCCATTACACTATTAAGGTAATTCATCTGCTTAATACTCAAGAACAGAAAAGATTTTTTTTTAAGAATTCATGTATTTTCACCATATAATCATAAGAGCCCTGCCCTAGTACCAGAACCCCTGACCCTGGGGTCATAAAAAATCAATATTTTGGAAAAGGCATTCTTCCTCATCAAAACTACGTACTTACTTAGTTTATTTAATACCTCGGAGCAGAGAAGAAGATTTTCAAAAAACAAGAGGCCCACGGGCCTTATAAGTCACCTGAGTATCATGTGACAACTTTCCAGCGATTGTATTTGGTTCATGTTTTAATCCAAAGCCATGAAATTCACAAATTTTGAAAGAGGCACCATTGCTTATCAAAGGGCAGATTTCAAAGCATTAATTTATTTTAGTCAAAGTACCCCGTGGTACCCCTGACCCAGCGGCCCTGAAATTATCTATTTTGAAAGAGGCTCCTTCCTTCATTATAAAGCCAGCTTTTTTTATGTTTAGGTTTAGTTATGAAATGAGAACAAAAAAGTCCCAAAGGATAAGGAAATTAAAAAAAATTTGATAAATCAATTATTAACATTTGTACATTTTTTTTATGCTATTCTAATAGGCTCCTTACCACTGGACACATAATGCTTACAAATAGGAAAGTAGAACAATTAATTGCTTATTTCATCATATGCAAGTTTGGGCCAGTTATATAAATTTTGTGATGGTCAAAATATATTTTAAATAATCAATTCTTCATTTTTTAAATATTTGTTAGGTAAATGTATAGACATTGTTCTAAAATTTACTTGTTGCCTAAAATTTTAATTCCTGTCATAAAACAGACAGGGAATATTGGGGAGTAGGGTGAACATTAAGTTTAGTGTAAAATAATTTTTCTGGCTTATACAAATGATACTACATGCCTGTATATATTTGTATATATTCTTGCCTTTTAATAGTTGAATTTTTTTTATTTCTTCGGGTAATTATTTATTTCTTCCTCAAATGGACTTAACTTCTCCCATAGTTTTATTCATTACATCTGATGCATAAGCAACCCTTTTCTGAAGAATGATACTTAGACTTTAAGCTATAACAGACCTAAACAATGTCGCTGGCAATATGCAATAGCTACCACAGGTAGTTTAAAACCTGGGGGACGAAAATAATTAACAGACAGATACTTTTGAAACGAATACTTAATTATCTCACCAGCATGTCATTGGGCATCAAAGTCGTCAACATTTTATTTGTCCTTTGAACGGGTGAAACCTTTTGAATGGCACTCGTATCAATGAATTTTACACTAAACCAAGCCATCTTCCTAGATCTAGCTTTATTTACGTTGGAAGTGCGAGTTCGTAAATTTGAAATCTCGATCCCGACTCAAATTTGACATCGGAAAGAAAAAAAAAATGTTTCATTTTTTTCTGAAAATGAAAACTTGAACGGAGGGTTTGTAAAACTGAAAATAAAATAAATCATGACCTTAAATATGTAATTTGATCATTAGTATATTAACCAAGAGCAAAGGATAAGATGTTCAAAGAATTCATGCATTTCACTATAGAATCATTATAGAGCCCCACCCTAAAACAAGAACCCCTGACCCTAGGGCCATAAAATTCACAATTTTGGTAGAGGCACTCTTGCACATAATAACTATGTACTTAGTTAGTTTATTTAATACCCAGGAGCAGAGAAGAAGATTTTCAAAGAAGTCATATATTTTCACTAAATAATCAATAGAGCCCCGCCCTAACACCAGAACCCCTGACCCCAGGGCCATGAATTTCACAATTTTGGTAGAGGCACTCTTGCTCATCATAACTATGCACTTATTTGGTTTATTTAATACCTAGGAGCAGAGAAGAAGATTTTTAAAGAAATAATGCATTTTCACTACCTACTTATTTAGCCCCGCCCTAGCACTATAACCCCTGACCCCAGGGCCATGAATTTCACAATTTAGGTAGAGGACTCATTGCTGATTACAATCATGCAAACAGTTTGACTGCTTGGTGTCCAGGAGTAAAGAAGAAGATTTTTAAAGATTGCATTAATTTTCGTGGTTTTGGCCCCACCCCTCAGGCCCCAGGGGGGCAGGGATCATGAAATTCACAATTTTTGTTCCCCTTCACCCATAGATGCTTTGTGCCAAATTTGGTTGAAATTGGTTCAGTGGTTGCAGAGAAGAAGCTGAAAATGTTCAAATGTTAACGCACGACGGACGACGCACGACGACGGACGAAAACAGATAGCAATAGGTCACCTGAGTTTACTCAGGTGACCTAAAAATCATGTATTTTCACTATGCAATCAAAAGAGCCCCGCCCTAGCACCAGAACCCCTGACCCTGGGGCCATAAAATTCACAGTTTTGCAAAAGGCATTCTTCCTTATCATAACTATGTCCTTAATTAGTTTATTTAATACCTAGGGTCAGAAAGAAAATTTTCAAAGAAATCATGCATTTTCACTATATACTTGACTAGAAAAGTGACCAGTTAGCAAGGGCCCCACTCAAGGGTAGAAATATAAGGGTGCAGCTTATTGAATGAGAGTTTTACTTAATTATCTTTCTATTTCGATATATGAAGATTATAAATTACAATTGTTACATTTTTTTTTTTATAATTTCAAAAAAATTTTTGAATGTCTCAAAACCTGTAAATAGTGTCCTTGTATTTACATAGAACAGGGAACGTTTTTATAAAAAAAATTCTTACTGGAAAAAAAAATAATTAAATGTGTATTTGAAAACGATTTAAGCTGGGTTTTTTTTTATAAAATGCAATCTTTCCAGTGAATGCAAATATCACCCAGTCTGGACTTCAACTTTAAAACAAACATCAGTTACAGACAAAGGTATTCATTAATCTTAATGTGACAGATAAAGATAAGCCTCTAAATTTTCTGCAACAAGCACGATAATTAATCCAAATTAATTAATGCAAAAGTTAAATATCTCTAACAAAAAATCACAGTAGAGAACAGTGATGTACAGTGCCTGTCTGGAACGCGTACATTGATCACTGTGCTTTACAGAGGTTGAGTATTGTACGTGTCTGTGATGCACAATGTTGTACTGTGGAGGCGTACAATGACAGGCAGTGGTGTACTGTGCTGTACAGTGGGGGCGTACAGTAATGTACAGGTATGTACAAAAACTAACAATGAATCTGTGCTGTGATTAACCGAGGATTATAGTAGGTACAGGTATTTTTTATACAGTGCTTAAACAGAGAAAAGCAGAACTTTGCGTTTATCAGTATCAGAGATTTTTCAGAATATCAGGGAATTTTAAGTTCAATATTGTTGGTTGAATCATGTCACAGAGGAGTATGCATCCTTTGTAAACCTTCCAAATCTTTACATAAATAATCCATAATCTAACACGTCAAACCAGATAATATCAACATTTGACTACGTTTGCGAAGAGGGTCACAGTTAGGAAGATATAATTTCCAAATTTTTGATTTTAAACAAAATAATATAAAAATAAGTAGCATCAAGTGAATTTCCAATTTTCAGTATATGCTCTTTGACATGAAATCAACTTAAAGGTATAAAAACAATATTCATTTAAATTTTGAAAAACTACTTCATACATTTGGTAAGCTGACGATGAAAAAGCAAAAAAAAAAATTCATTTTCAATAGAAATGATATGTTAAAAAAGAAAGATCAAAAAGCACAGTTACCTTTCCTCTTATGGTCTAATGATGGAATGAGGTTAGATATATTCCAACTTCCAGTCACCGGCAATTTGTCTTTAGTCCATTCTATCATTTTTCTTTCTTCTTCAGTCAACAATTTATGTACTTCGCTCCAAAGTTTCTCTACAAAATAGTCTAAAAAGTCAGAATTCAGAATATTTTCCACCTTACCTACAACAAAAAACTTGATGAATTTTTCATTCTTTTTTATAACTTGTATTTTTTGCATCCATAAAATATGAGTTTCATCGGTCACAACTGTGTAAATGTGATCCTTTGCTCTTTATCAACAGATTCATTTCCTCTCACATGTACATGGTCATATGTTAACGTTTGGTTACATATAAAAGCATCAACCCCTCGCAAGAAATTTTGAACAAACTTCTTTATTAATATTGATAATAAGATACTGTCTGTTATGCGTCGTTGTATTGACTTTTAATTTTTCTAATACATGTTTATATTATCGGTCCTAAGAAAGATCGTTCCATGATGAAATATTTTCAGAAAATTTAAAGTAAAGTGCTTTAGATTTATATAAATTCATTTCTAATAATAGGATTTCTCTTTCATTTGAAAAATATATATCACATCTTTAAAGCATCCGAATGATAGAAATGCTAGTCATTTTGGGTGATATCAAAACATAATTCTAATAGGGACCATAGATCACTTTTTAAAAGAATAGGTTTGTCATTTTTTTAACTTTTCAAAGACTTGATAATTTTTGCATTGTATTTAAAAGGATGTTTTGACCTTTGTGCTTAATATATCTCACAAATACGAGTGTTGATCCAAAAGTTCGTGGAATTTCTTTCTAAAATTTTATCGCGATTTGATGAAAGCCAACAACAGGCATATTCATAATATAGAGTCATAATGTGACAATATTGAACAATTTTACAACTTTCCAATTACCAATGAGGTTCACACGAGCTTTCTGAAAATGGATAGTTGTGAAACCCGGGAGAGACTTCGACGTGACGTCAAGTTAGATATGTCACGTCACGTTATAGATGCAACTCTCCCTCATGTCCAATTTGAATTCGTACTTCTACAACAAGAGGCCCATGGGCCACATCGCTCACCTGAGACCATTCTGTTCTTTACCAGATTTCCCCCTTGTTATACATAATGCATCCCCACCCTACCCCACTGTTCATAATTTAGACATTTTGAAATCTACACTACCCCATGATCCTTCCATGGGCACATATGTTTCAGCTTTTTTGGCCCAGTGGTTCCTGAGAAGAAGATTTTCAAAGATTTTTTTCCTATATATTTCTATGTAAAACTTTGATTCCCTATAATGGCCCCACCCTTTCCCCGGGGGTCATGATTTCTACAATTTAGAATTTATACTACCCCAGAATGCTTCCACATAAGCTTCACTTTTTCTGGCCCAGTGGATCTTGAGAAGAAGATTTTCAAAGATTTTTCCTATATATTTCTATATAAAACTTTGATTCCCCATTGTAGCCCCGCCCATCCCCCAGGGGTCACGATTTGAACAATTTAGAATCTACATTATACCAGGATGCTTCCACATATAAGTTTCA